AGAGAGAAGAAACAATAATGTACAGTAGGTGGAAAATAATGTGTTTTTTTAACCTTAAAACGCATAAACACATTTCATTACACCAAATACACCAAATAATGTTCTTTTTAGCAGCATCATATGACCCCTTTAAGTACAAAAACCGGACGAATCCCTTTAAATATATCATCTGATCGATGTCTTGAGGTGTGGTAACCGTAGTATAAGTGGAATAATTGACTCTGGGCCGTTGAATTATTAGAAAAATAATGCACACCCGTCGTCAATTATTCCTTACGTATAAGACAGTAAGACAAAGAGAAATGATTCAGATACAGAAAAGTGTTGTTATTGTTAACTACAACTCAATGATTGAAATAAAGCTGAAATAAAATATAAATATGACATGAAAATGTACTTAAAGATAACTCAAATAAGGTGAAGTACTACAAAAAGTAATACTAAAACTGAAATAAAAAGCTGCACATAAAATGCATAAATGCACATAACAAAATGACTACAACTTTAACTAAAATCACAATAAAATCTGAATATAAAAAAACAACATTTAATTCAAAATATTAATAAATACTATGATAGTACAATATATAACTGATACTAAAACAACTCTGATACAGAAGATAAAGCAGAAAAATCTGAAATCAAGTCTTAAATTCATCTACACCTTTCTTGATGCTTTTTATGAAACCTTCATTGGGAGGTAGTGCTGAAGATGGGTGTGTGATGCGTTCTGGGATGCGTAACTTCTGTCTCACGACTGGGTGCCTCAGCAGGGCCACCTGACCCAGTGAGAAGAGGTTAGAGGTCATCCAGTAGGTGAACACTGCCTGTAAAACACACAGATCAAACGACACTACGGAAATCAATACAGCATGACAAGCCAAGATGGATCTCATAACGAATACAGTTGAAAAACTCGAAAAGAGCGTGTGAAAGACTAACCGTGGGGAAGTTAATCGTCATAGGGAGGATCACAAAGGGCATGATCCTGAAGACAGTCTTCATGGCCCTCATATTGGGGTTGTCAACACCAGATTCAGCTCCCAACTGTAAAAAATAATTGTAAACATTTTAAATTGCTGTAATACTCCAAAAATACGTCTGTCAAGCTCCAGAAAAAAAACAGCATTGACATAGTCTACACAACTACATTTTAAGTCTTCTAAAGCCACACAATAGCTTTGTGTGAAATACAGGTGTTGAAATCTATATTTTAGCATTTAAAAAGTAGAAATATGGTGATTTAAAAAAAAAAAAATCAGTCACAACATACTTTCGTTGTTAGGAAAAGAGCTTCTTCAAAATATTTAAAATATTTGTTCCATTTCATAAAGTAAGCCAAATGGTTTTGGAATGACATGACAGTCAGTAAATGACAGTCAATTTTCATTAACTATTCCTTAAATAACTACCTCTAAGATGGCAAACATAGTGCTAGTCACGGCAATGGGGAGAATGTAAAATGGATCAGCTGTGGTTAGGTCTGTGAACCACCAGAGGCCTCCAGTCTGCAAACTTGGTACGGGGAGATATGCCATTTTACGCAAGGCAATGAAGAAAGAGATGAAGATCGGAGCCTGAGGAGTAAAGGGGATCAAAAAGGTATATATGACTAAACAGCAGCTGACTAACCAAGTTATTTCATCTTGACACCTAAACAGATGTTCACAATAACGAAAGCATTAACGGTCACTGACCTGTGCCATGGGCACTAGGAACCCACGCAAAGGGTTCACATCATATTTCTTCTGAAACATCATCAAGTCAGTGTATGCTTTTGAAACTGGAAAAAAAAATGATCATTTTAAATTTGATCAGTAAATGATTGTAATTCACTACTAAGAGTTGGGGACTACAATGAGAGAACAAATTAAAGATCAAAGGACAGAAAAAAAGGCCAATGCAAGAGATAAGATCATTTATACACTCTGACTATATAAAAGGTAGGGGAAAAAATTAAGAAAAACAAGGTTTAGAAAATGAGACACTTACATTCAAATTTGTTACCGCTCTGCTTGGCCTCATTCATGCGGTTGGTGAGCTTGGTCATTTCTGGCATGACGTTGTTCAGTTTGGCTGCTTCCCTCTGTCCCTTTACAATGACTGGGAACACAGCACACCGAGCAAAAATGGTGCCTGAGGAGAAAAGACAGAAAGATTTGATTTAAAAAATAATAAGAAGAAGAACATTTAAATAAATAAAATTACAAAATATGAAAATAAAAATAAAGTAAAATATGAGAGAATAATATCAATTCTAAATACATAAAAAAAAAAAAACATGCAAGTGGCTATTCAGGAGGACAATTATTCTACAGAGAACCATACATGTAGAATGGAACATTTATTTGAATAATGTGTTGACATCTTTCTTGGTCATCTTTTAAGTGGTCTGTGTTGCTGTAAAACCACCTAATTCATGTTTGGATTTAAAAGATATCTGATCAATAAATTACACTCGTTATATATACCTGCAACAATGGCCCCCCACCATGGCAGCCCAATGCTAACATGCATAAACTCCAGCAGATTCTGGATCAGGCCCACAGGTGTGTTGCTGCCTAGGCCGAGCTCTGATAGGCTGACTTCAGCTCCAACCTCCTGCAGAACATCCAATGCAGTGAGAGGAGCCTCGGCCACCTGCTCTGTGATTGGTGGTGTGACTGCGGGGGCGGGGTCAGCAGAAGGACTTGGAATGGAGACTGCATCAGATATTGCACCATTTACAGGTTCAAATGGAGTTGAAATGCTCTGCAAAATTTCTGTCGTCTGTAAAATAAGCAAAATACTTCTTAATCTATCAAAGAAGTCAATTCACAAAAAGATTTTCAGAGACCCGTTTAATGTAATTGAGATTAATGGAAAAGTGTACATGAAGTAGTAGAAAAGCTCTGCCACTGTAATTAAACTCATTTTGAGCAACCCACCTGTGAGCTGTTGTGTCTGACCGCCACTGCACTGACCAGCAGGAACTGGCCATGATTGGGACACCCAAGAAGTGCCCTAACTAGAGGACCCCTACTTCCTCTGCCAGTGTGAAGACGTGATCTCGGTACAAACCACTGCAACAAGATAGCACAAACTGTTTTTTTTTCTGAATTCTATCAAACACAGGCCTTTTAAAAATACAATAAACTACAAACAATAGGGAGTTTGGGATATTTACGTTTATTCATTTAGTAGACACTGTTATCAAAGCAACATTCAAATTAACATCACAAGCAATTTGATGGAAGAGCAAAAAATATTTACAGTACACAATTCCAAGTTTTAAGTATAAATTAGATTAGTAAACAGGCAGAGATGATATGCAAAAAAGAAGAAAGAGAATTTTTTTAATTTAAAAAATAAGATTTATTTAAAGCTGCAGTCCGTAACTTTTTTGTGTTCAAAATTTACAAAATTTATATATTAAGCGATTACACCATGAATCCATTTTCCAGACCGTGTTTTTGGCTTGTGCTGAATCACTACGGTACACCTATAATAAGTGTTTATAGTCGGACTATTTAGACTGGCTCGGGTAGGTACCGCTGCGGAGTAGCCCAGTACCTGCGTGATTCGCCATAGACATAAACAGAGAGAAGTAGCTCCGGCTACAATGTTCTTCCTCAAGACGCACGCAGTTCTGTTTATTAACCGCTAGAGCGCCTAAAGTTACGGACTGCAGCTTTAAAAAGTGATTTTGCTAGAATATCTAAGCCAGTGGTTCTCAACCTTTTTGTCTTAAAGGCCCCCTACTTTCCAACACAATATTCAAAGGCCCCCCACATAAGATAATATTATCAGAAATAACTACAATTAAGTACAAAATATTAATAACAAAAATGGGTGTCAGTATAGGTAAATTAATTAATTACAATTTATTCTGTGATTGCAGAAGCTTTAAGAACTCTGTTCTTAAATAAATGTAAAAAAAAACTGTTTTTGAGGGGGGAAAAGAAATTTATCTTTAGTTTACTGATTTTAGTTCAGTAAAGACAGTTTAATTTACTTTATCTTGATTTTTCATTGCATTTTAGTTATGTTAGATGATTAATTATTAATTAATATTAAGAAGTTAATATATCAATAGTGATATAAATATATCAATTATTATAGTAATTATAATAATAATTTAAGGTGCCTCCTGGATGAGAACCACTGACCTAAGCTCTATAGTTTATACAAATTGTAAGGGAAATGAGTAATCAGTCACATTATGTTGTTATTCTACATTAAATGTAAATAACAAACA